CAGGCCTACGTCCCCTGCCCGGCGCCGCGCCGGACGCAGAGCTTCGCGCCGCGCCGCCGCTCGCCCCTCGCCGCAGAAGGTCCTTTCGGCGGCCGGGCCAGCAACGCGGCCGCCCCCGCCCCGGCGTGAGACGGCGCTTGCGCTGGCGCACACGTGCACCCGCGCGGCGCGGAGACGATCGCCCTGCCAGCTCGCTGGCTTGCGCGGTTGTCATCACTACTTTTGTCACTGTCGGGCGCGCGCCGCGGCGCGCTTGCCGCCAACGCGCGTTTGCCGCCGTCAGCGGGAGAGCGCCGGCTCTGCTCGTCGGCGCGCGCGTACACCGCGAGTAGTTAGTTCATGTCGGAGAGCGTGTAAATCCCATGCCCCAAGCCATGTCCCGTTGAATCATGCCATGTGTGTGACACCTGCGACCTGCGCGGTGTCTGAGAGATGCCCATGTCTTGCCGAATCTACACAGTGTCGGCTTTTATCTGTGCACACTTACGTCAGTACGTCCGTCTGCCGGTGTTGATACACTTGAGGTGTCGATCCCGTGTTCGGCCCGTGATGTACACATGTAGAGGATCCTTTCGCTGTGCGGTGTGTGTTGCACCTTTTTCTCGACCACGGCCGCGGAGACCCGTGAGCCTGCGACGTGCGAGCACGCGAGGTGCAAGCGAGCTGCGTGCTCAAATCACAAATGAGAAATGTGCCTTTCCCATCAGGATTTCCCCGCTTGCATCATATCATGGACATGGTTTTCGCCATGATATTATGGAGTCATGATATCTCAAAGCTCGGCACTTCATTTTCTCACGCTCTTGAAATCACAACCTTGCGATTTCAATAAATAAATAAAACGGACACCTCTACTAGGAGATGGGTAAAAAGGAACAGGTCCCCGCCCTGCGGTCTTTGTGCAGGGTTCTTTGTGGGTGTGGTCGGCGGCTAGCCGGGGTCGTCCTCCCGATGGGGGACTAGCACTAGCCGTCTTCCACATGGTCCCTCGGGTCCCTGCTGCTCCTAATCTCTTCGTACATCCTCCTGCTGATCTCCGCAACGTCCTGCTCCCTCCCTCGTCTCGCCCTGCGCGACTGCTCCGCCTCACCGTCGTCCGCCCTGCGTCGTCTGGTGACGGGTCCTCCATAGTCGGTTGAGGTCGCCGCCCTCCTCGTGCCTCTTCCCAACGTTCCCTCGGCGGTCGATGCCGTCTGGCCCGCCTCCGCCGTCCCCGGGTCTGCCCTGCCCTCGTCTGCACTAGCTTCTGTTTCGTCATCACTGGCGCCTCTCCTCTTCTTTCTCCTCTTCTTGTACGTACGTACTTTTAGCTTACTGGGAGAAAAGAGAGAGGGGGGTTGTGTTCTCTAGGCCACTAAGGTTCTTGTATGCTTTGTACATCGCGTCGATTCCTTTTCGCGTGAGCACCATCCTGAAGCTCGCCCAGCAGCGGAACCGCTCCCGAAGTCGAAGGAGCATCATCAGTCTCACCCACTTCGCTCTCTGCCCACCGTCTCCGCTCCCTCCCGCTTGAGCCGCCGTCGTGGCCCTCGTTCGTCCCACTGGCTGTTGGCCTGTCTGCACGTTGCCTCCGTTATCCCTCCTCCTCCGCGACTCCCTCAAGACCGGGCGGGCCTCCTTCCACCCAGCGAAGAGCTTCCTCAGCCACTCGATGTGTTCCTCTCTCTTCATTATGCGCGCCGTTGCTTCATCATTGAGCTGTATCCACCTCTGCACCGCTCCCGTCGCCGCCTCGGCCACGACTTGCAAGTTCCTCGTGACCCCGGTGCCAAGGTCCCTTCGGCTCTTCTCCGAGAGGTCATCTACCAGTGCTGGCAACACCCCCCCGACTGCGGGGGCCAGTGTATCGTACCCGTCCTCATCCAGCACCCTGTAGCGTGAGCCCTTCAGCGCAGCGACATGCGCCATCCTCAGCGTCTTCAGCGTCTCCTTGGAGTCGGGTGCCGCCTGTGCCACTTTGCTGATCGCCGTCCCTGTCTGCGCTCGCGCTACTCTGAGGAACCATCTGGCCTGCTCCCTATTCCCCAGGCAGGCGCCGCTAAGCACGTGCGCCATTGTCGCTCTAGGCGGGTTCTCATCTTCCTCGGTCCATTGCTGCGCGGCTTTCCGCACGATCGGACACAGCGGGTCCCGCTTTAGTGCTGCCCTCCTCGCCGCGTCCCTCGCGGCCTTACAGACGAGGCAGCCCCTGAGGTCGCTCCTTGTGGCGGCGCCCGGGGTCTCCCTCCCCGCCTCGCCCCGCATGATCCTCTCGTGGTGCGCTCCGTGTGGCACCCCCGCCTGCTGCCGCACCCGCGCTCCCATGACGGTCTTTGTCACCACGTTATGATCATCCACGTCGGCGAATTCAATCTCGCGCTCGCCGTGCTGATCCTTGATCCGCTGGCGCTTGTCCCATTTGTGTCTCGTCGTCCCCCTGACCACGTCGCTCCACAGCGGCCCCGTGACCCCTGCCGTGTGCGACCCCGCCGTGAGCCCCTCGCCGAGCCGTCCTCGATTGCGATTTCACACAAGATCACGCTCTTGAAATCACACTTGCGATTTAACACAAAGAAATCACGCTAGCCGCTCGGAGCCCGGAGCGATATTTTGTTTGGTGCCGGTTACTACGGCAAAAATGTGTATATAGCTGTGCGCGCGCTTCTACTGTACACGCGGGCGCAACGAACATGGCTAGTACAGCAGAGCACATGCGAGGGCACCGGCGCCGCGACTTCAGACAGGCTGCTACGACTAGTGGAGAGGCAAAGCGTCTATCATGACTCTACATGCGGCGTTGGCAATCGGCGCGCCTATGGTGTGGACTCGCACCGAAGGTAGTGTACAGTCGTCCCCAACGTCGCGCGCCTACAGCCCTCTCCACCCAGACAGACAGGCTGCTACGGCTAGTGGAGAGGCAAATCATGACTCTACGTGCGACGTTGGCAATCGGCGCGCCTATGGTGTGGCTCGCACCGAAGGTAGTGTACAGTCGTCCCCAACGTCGCGCGCCTACAGCCCTCTCCACCCAGACAGACAGGCTGCTACGGCTAGTGGAGAGGCAAATCATGACTCTACGTGCGACGTTGGCAATCGGCGCGCCTATGGTGTGGCTCGCACCGAAGGTAGTGTACAGTCGTCCCCAACGTCGCGCGCCTACAGCCCTCTCCACCCAGACAGACAGGCTGCTACGGCTAGTGGAGAGGCAAATCATGACTCTACGTGCGACGTTGGCAATCGGCGCGCCTATGGTGTGGACTCGCACCGAAGGTAGTGTACATCCAAGCGTCCCCAACGTCGCGCGTGCCTACTCTCCTCACTCGGGCTCTCGGGGCGTGTGGGTATCGGGGCCGATGCCCGCGTGGAGAGTACCTGCGGGCAGAGAGCAGCGTGCCGATGACGTTGACGTGCTCGTCCTTGGCCGCCGCGTGCAGCGCGGAGTTGGACGCGGGCACCTGGTCAAGCACGTTGACCCGGAGGAACCGACTGCATGTCGATGTTGGGGCCTGGCGCGGCGCCGGAGTCGCCGAAGTCCGCCCGTCCGTAGCCCTCCTCTGCCTCCGAGAGGGAGCGCGCGTCGCCACCGCCCGAGAGAGAGCCGCGGGCCGGAGACTCGGAGAGGTTGGACGCTCGCTGTCGCTGCTCTCGCTCGCTCAAGCCGGGCGCGTACGCGTCGTCGCTCAAGTCGGTCATGCCCTGCGACAGACACCACGGGTGTGATTCGAATGAGAACCGCGTGGCCGGTTGAGCTTCAGGTTTTGCGGGGATATGGCCGGCCGGAAGCTTGCGTCGCCACTCACGGGTTTATCACGCATCACACTTCACCGCGAAAGAATTTCTTTTTCGCGCACGACACCAGGCACGGGACTGGCGCGCACTGGCACTAACACAGGTCGTGCGAGGGAGTTTCGTTGTAAAATTCTTTTTCGCGCTGGGGAGGGATCCCCTGTTCCGTCTGAACACGTGTGTTTGCGCTATGTATGATCACTGCACACTGCGGCGGTCGCGGGTCAGTCGCGGCCCGCGCGGTGTCCGCGGGGTCGGTATAATTTTTCAGTTTTCACGCTCGGGGGTATGATAGCACGACCATGAATTCTTACTCATGATATCAACAGACCCATCATTATATCACAAATCATGTGCAAATCATGCTATTCTCCATGGTTTCATAGAGCCGGGGTTTTCTAGATGCGCGGCACGACCACGAGGCCGTCCCGTTTTGATCTCTCGGTCTGTGGGGGGCCGAGCCGCCTCGGGGTGGCGGGCGGGCAGGCGTTTTGAAAAACAGAAACCAAGAGGGGGCCCGGAGGCAGGCCCCCCACTGGGAGTAGAAAACACTCCCAAAAGGGGGCCAAGGAGGCGGCGCGGGGAAGCAGCATGAAAGCGGGAAGGAAAAGACTCTCGCCCAGTTGCGGCGTGTGGGGACGCGTCCATCTTCACTCGTGTGCGCAGACCAGCGTACTTCTGCACGACCCTCGCTCAATCAGAGCCACTCCAGATTGGCGGCCTTCACGGCGACACGACCGCCGGAGTTGTCGACCTCGATCGAATAGCGTGCCGTCGCTGCGTTGTAGTCCGCAACCCTGCCCGTCTTGCCATTCAGATCTGCGCGGCTGACGAGGCCGACAAAGCGGACCGGTTTGCCCGCAATCAGCTTGCGCGCGACCTCATCACTGCGGGTGTACATGTTTTTATCCTTGGAGCGGAGGATCGCACTTTCCGCCATCATGCACTCCATCTGCTCTCCCGATGCCACCCCCGTCGTGAGCATGCGGGACGGCGCAGGCCGGATGAAGCTGACCTGCGAAATGTTAGCCGGCTCGTTCGGCTTCCCCGCCACAGCCGAGGCCCAACCGCGAGGGCGGTACTTGATGGCCACTCCGCGAATCTGGTCGGGTGCGTTCTCCGCAGTCTTGAAGACCTCGAAGGGCCACTGGCGGCCGTACTCGCGCAGCGCCTCGACGAAACGGCGCTCGTGGGCCGCGCGCTCGTTCTTCTCGCCGGGAGCGCAGCACTTGCCCGTGCAGCCGACAATCGGATCGATCATGCTTGGTGGGAGGCAGCCCGCCTGCATGAGGATGAGGCCGAGGACCTGCATGGCGTGCCCCGCCGGGCAATCGTCCCCACACGAGTCGTAGAGCTGCTGCGTGGCATTCGCCATGTCGATGAGCGGCTCAATCGCAGCCTCAATCTTCAAGTGCTGGTCTGCTGCCTGATCCAGCACTTCGAAGAACTCGGCGTACTCCTCGTGCGAGTGGCGGCCAATATACAGCCCAGGCTGCCCACCGTCGGCCATGGGCACGCTGACCATGACCACGGCGAAGGTCTTGCGGCGCTCGGCGTAATTGGTAGGCCCGACGCCCGCCCGCGTGAGCAGATCCATCGCAAACTCGAGCGTGCTGTCGCTCCCGATGATGTCCCAGCTCCAAACCCCCATGGTGAAAGGCACGAGTGTCAGAAGAATTCAACAAACCGAACTCTCTCGCACAGCCTGTCGTGTCCCTTGTCAGGAGCAGGAGAGCCCCACCTGTCCCCCTGATCGTCCTTCCAAAATCCTGCTCGTGCAGGTGGGGACCCTGTCCCTCGTCCCATCCCTCGTTTGGCGTGTCTGTTTTCTTTCTTTCTTTCTTTTAGCAGTGGCAGCCAGCTGGCTGTGTGTCTTGTGAGCTTGTTTGTGTCTGTGTGTCGCTCGTGCGTGTCGTCATCATCTGTCCAGCGTCCACCCATACCGCGTTGGTGTCCAGTCCGAGCCTGGCTGTTCTTCACCTTTCTACCTATGTATGTTAGCAGGGAGGTGATGAGGAGTCAGTTATGCGCGGCGGCCTACCTACCTCGAGGTCCCGAAGCCGAGAGAGCCCGCGTTCCTATCACGTTGGACGGCTTGCATGGAGCATGGAGCTCTGTTCCGGCACACAGGAAGAGCCGTGCTGCAAGAAGAGCTCGAAAGTGCTCACCCAGGTTTCGGAAGTCCGCCTTGTCGACAGAAGCTACTAGCAGTGTCAGAAGAACTCCCTGCACAGCACTGGGCACTTTTACTGCCTAGGCGACTCCCTCGGACGACACTGAGCACGGGACTGGCGCGCACTGTCACAAGAATTTACAACAAACTCCCTCGCACAACACTGGGCACGGGACTGGCGCGCACTGTCACTAACACAGAAGAATTTCACAACAGAAGAAAGAGGACACGCGCGAGCGACACACAGACATACACAAGACACTCAGCCAGCTGGGCTGCCACACATCCCGCGTGAGCGTACACAGCACTACGCCACTCAGGGCCACGCCCCGCCCCGCCCCTGTTGCCCCCCCCCCCCCCCCGCCCCCCTGAGCCCTCTGGCTGTCAGGCTGTCAGATGTGCTGTCCAGGTGATCTGTCGGGCTGTCGGTGGCACGACGCCCATCGCGCCCGCCAGCGCTGCCGTGCAGGTTGCCACGACGAGGTCGAGCACGCTTCTATACGCTCGCCCAGCCTTCCTTTCCATCCCATTAGGCAGCCTGGGAACGGTGGCGATCCGCACACCGCAGAGGCAAAGGCCAAAGCCTACGAGGGGTGGTCGAACCACATTCCACATGTCACGGCCACCGCGGTCCGCATGCCGATTTGCGAATCGAAATAGAGCGTAAACAAAGAAGAAAGAACCGCTCTGGACCTCGCTCTCTCTTACATGTTGGACATGCTGTCCCTATAGCTCTAAGCTCACTGCACACTGGACAGGCCCCGTCACATCTCGCCGCACTGCGCAATCACAATCGGCAGCTTCGGCTTGCTGTTCGCGCCTGCAGGCAACAAGGGCAAGATGCGGTAAGGTGCGCCTCTCCAATACATGAGGGGAAAGGGGGTGTAGGCAGCCCGCGCATCTCCGCACCCAGACGCGAGCTGGCACCGGCATTCAGAATGCCATGCCAGTTACACGTGGGCGAGCAAAGCGCGATAGGCAGAATGCGGAGGCAAGTGGGGAAGGGGGCGGCGGCGAGCAGGGGGGAGCGGCGGGGCGCAGAAGCGCGGGGGCGGGGGGCAGGGCGGGGGGGGCGGAGCGGGCGGGGCGCGCCGACAGTGACGTTCTCGATCTTCCGCACAGTGAGCAGGCCGTCGAGGACCTGAGGGTTAGGGTTAGGGTTAGGGTTAGGGTTAGGGTTAGGGTTAGGGTTAGGGTGAGGGTGAGGGTTAGGCGTGAAATCAGCCGAGATGGCTCCTCTCGGCTCCTCCTCGGCTCCTCTAGTGTCATCTCCTCATCTCGTGTCACCCCTGGCTCCTCTCGGCCAACCTCGTGTAAACTCGGCCCCGCTCGCCGTACCTCGTGCCATCTCGTGCCATCTCGTGCCATCTCGTGCAATCTCGTGCAATCTCGGCCCCTCTCGCCTTGCCGAAGACGACGTGCTTGCCGTCAAGCCAGTCGCAGGCATCGCAGGTGACGAAGAACTGGCAGCCTGCGGGGACGCGTCTCGGACATGTCACGGACGTGCGCGGACATGTCACGGCCGCGGGCGGCGGAAGAACTGGCAGCCGTTCGTGTTCGGTCCGGAGTTCGCCTGGCAAAGGGGAGGGAGGGAGGGAGGGAGGGAGGTCATATCTCCCCATATCTCCCCATATCTCTCCATATCTTGCGCCATGGAGAGCAGCCGGCCCCGGGTGCTTGCGCGTCATATCTCCTCACATCTCCTCACATCCCCTCACATCTCCTCACATCCCTCCCTATCCCGCGCCATGGACAGCAGGCCCGGCCCGGTGTGCTTGAGCGTCAGATCTTCGTCCTCGAACCTGCGGGCGGTGTAAAAAAAGAAAAATCACGAGGGCGGGTAATCAGGCGCGCCATCAATTCTGTACTTGATCAATCGTCCTCGAAGCTGCGGGCGGTGCGCCGGCGCGGCGGCAGGGGAGATGTGGGGAGATATGGCTGCGAGGGGAGAGGCCGCCGTGGCTGACAAGGCGGAGTGGTAGTGTGGCTGACATTGGGCGGAGCGGTGGTGCGTGGTAGAGGGGTGGAGAGGCGCAGAGAAGACGGAGAGCGTGGAGTGAGGGTGGGGGTTGGGGTGGGGTGGGGGTGAGGGTGTCTCGACGGTCGCCCTATTAGAGAGAAACAGCCCGGGCTACGGCGGCGGGGAGGACGTAGCTCGATGATGACGTGCTAACTCCGGTAAGTGCTAGTAGCCTCAACAAACCAAAGAAGATGAGGAGGGCGGAGGCGGAGGTGGCGGTGTGTGGGCGAGGGGCGGCGGCCACTTGTCGCCGTAGATTGAGGTGCAGCCGGTGCCTGGCCGGGGTGGGGCGGGGGAGGGTGGGGCAGGGGAGGGTGAGGCGGGGACGGGAGGCCGGGCGGCGCTGGTGGTGGTGGCGGCGGCGCAGCAGCGGCGGCGGCGGCGGCGGTGGCGGCGGCGCAGCAGCGGCGGCGGCGGCGGCGGCGGCGGCGGCGGCGGCGGCGGCGGCGGAAATGGCGTCGGTGGTGGTGTCGGCGGCGGCGTGTAGCGGCGGCGGCGGCGCTGGCGTTGGCGGTGTGCGTGTGTGCGGGCCGAGGCAGCAGCTCGCTCAGGCTGGCGTGCCGTCGCCCTTCACAAAGTCGCCTCCCTGGCACATGAAGCCCTTGATCACTCGGTGGAAGGAGCTGCCCTTGAACCCCACCGGCTTGCCCATTTTCCGGTGCTCCCCTGTGCACAGCTGCCTGCAGGCGGGCGGCAGACGGCAGAGGGCCGGGTCGGCGCATTCGCCGCGCCGTGTGTCGGCGCCGTCGGCCAGTGGCGCACGCCTGAAATTCTCGGCCGTTCTCGGCACCGTGTCGCTGAACAGCTACGGGCAGGCGGCGGCGGCGGCGCGGTCAGGCTCAGTGAGCAGTGCCGCTCTCTCCATATCTCCGGCTCGGTCTCCCGGGCGCTGCCGCGGCCGCGCCTCCATCTTGATGCGCCCGGCGTTGTGGCCGCCGATGGTGACGTCCATGAAGACGACCGGGTTGCCGTTCTGGAGCCCGGGGATCATCCCGACGCCCGACATCGAGCCGAGGGAGCTGTCGACTGAAGCGGGCGCGTCGAAGGGTCGATAAACAAAAAAGAAAAGGCTTTGCCGCGTCGAGGGTCGATAAACCAAAAAAGTTCGGTCTTCACGCGAACCACGGGGAAATTCTTCTCGCGGAGCTCGGAGAAGCTCGCGCTGCGGCGAGGAGGGATGGCAGTGCTCAAGACAGTCGGCGTCGGCGTTTTCGCGATGCTCGCCTTCTACCTCACCTGGTGGATGTGCGTCACGCTCGCCACCAGCTCCCTCCTCTACCTCACATCGCTCGACGCGACGCCGCTGTCCGCAGCGATCTGGGGCGGAGCCGTGCTGCTGCTCGCTGCGGTGCTCTACTACATCTTCTACCCAGAGGGGCAGAAGCTGCGGTCGGACGTGCTCAAGGCGCCCGGGAGCAAAACGCCGCCCGCCGCCAGCCGCGAGAGGCCGCCTGCCTGGCAGACCGCGCGAGAGAGAGCCAAGCTGGAGGTGATCGGCGCGGGCGGCGCGGTGCCGGCCGACGCTGCGGCGCTGACCGACTGGAGCGAGCGCGACGTGCCGGGGGCCGTGCTGCGCTACAAGGGATGACGGCGAAGTGCTCCCGCACCTCTTTTTCCGTCATCAAACCGGAGAGCCGAGCCGACGCGACAGCTATGTCAGTCAGCGCACGCAATCCTTCAGCATGTCGTGTGCGGTATGTGCTGCGTCGCCCCACAATTAGTGTATCTTCTCAATCCGGTAAGAAAGAGTACCTTCTGGTTCAGAGTCGAAGCTGGCAGGTCGACTGGCAGGGAGGATGTCGCTTGTCGGTATACCTTTTAGACGATAGACCGCTTTATATACTCTCTTTTTCTCTCTCGCCCTCTCCAAAGTCCAATATTGTCGCGCGCGCGGGCCGCGGCCGCTGGCGCGTGGCGGGACCAAGTGCGGGACTCGCGGCCGCAAAACACACCTCGCGGACGTCCACGCCGACGGTGGACTCCTTACTTCTGTGCTATGGCCCCCTGCAGCCAGCCACCACGCGCCACAGCAGCCGACTCGCGACTCCGTTCTGAGTATGCCGTTCTGAGGGAGCGCACGCCTCTAGAGTCGCGAGGCTTCGTCGAGAGCAATCGTGGCCGATAGCTGCTGGGGTCAGCTGCGTCCAGAGGGCGGAACGTCGAGGAAGGAGGAGATGATCAGGAGGAGCGCGTCCGGCTCGTCGGCGTGTATCCAGTGCCCTTGGGGGGGGGGGGGGGGGGGGGGGCGACTCGACCGCACCGGCGCTGCGTATCGTCGAGAGGAAGAAGGTGCTGAACTGCTCCGAGATGGCAGCGAGATACGACGAGCGCACGTACCGCGACTGGCCGCCCGCCTGGAGTCAGGCACCGCCAAGGCGGTCAGAAAAAAGAAAGCTGCGCGAGCGGGTGCCGCGAGGTGCCACCCGCCTGGCGACAAACACCAGGCGATCAGAAACAGAAATCGGTGCGACGACTGTGACGCGAGCTGCCGCCCGCCACAAAGAGGGTGTTGCCGCCGTACACCTCCCCGCCCACCTATTGGGAGGTTCCTAGAAGGTTCCTGGAAGGCTCGTGGAAGGCTCGTGGAAGGCTGCTAGGGGCTGCCGCCCAACGCCTCGCCGCCCTCCTCCTCCCACCGCGCCCAACGAGTCTGCGGGCGCGGTCTCGTGTGATCTCGTGTGATCTCGTGTGATCTCGTGCGATCTCGTGCGATCGTGCGACCTCTTGCAAAATGCTCGGGCGGTCTGGTGCGATCTGGTGCGACCTCATGCAATCTCATGCAATCTCGCGAGATCGCACCTCCCACCGCGCCAGCTCGCCCAGCGAGTCTGCGATCGCACGCAGGTTCACGCGCCACGCAAAGCCCTGCCCGCCTGCCGCGCCGGAAAGGGGGGAGGGGAGGGGGGCGGTTCAGCGGCCGAGATCAGCCGGGATCAGTCGTCTGCCAAGAGCCGCGGAAACTCATCCGCCAAGTTCATCTCGCTCGCTCGCTCGCTCGGTCTCATCTCAACCTCGTTTGTTCTCGGCGCAGTCTCGGCGCAGTCTCGGCTCAGTCTCGCCCGAGCGGCGGACGAGATTTGTCAGCAGGAAAGCGCGCAAGCCCGGGTCGCTCACCTTCGAATGTGAAGAGGGGGTGTGAAGAGCGGGGATGAAGAGGGGGTGTGAAGAGGGGGTGTGAAGAGCGGGTGTGAAGAGGGGGTTTGAAGAGCGGGTGTGAAGAGGGGCTGTGAAGAGGGATCTGCGAGTTCGGTCCCGGGGCTGTGCGTTTACCTTAAGGGATGTTAGAGTGGCATGTCTGCGGTGTCTCTGCCTCATGTATTTCGGCTGTGTCTCGCTCACCCCCCGGGCGAGCGCGGCGTCGGCGTCGCGCTTGCTCGAGATGCGCTGCGCGGGAGGAGAAGTGATGTGTTCGATCGGATCGGATCTCGGGCGATCTCGGGCGGATCTCGGGCGGATCTCATCTCTCGGCGTGATCTCGGCGTGATCTCGCCTGCAGGTCGATGGCGAGGAGGTCGCCGATGATGCGCACATTCTCCGCCCACGGACTGCCCTCGCCTACTCGCGAACTGCTGATTGGTGAAGGGCCATTCCCACCCTCCGCCCACGGCCTCCCGCGCCCGCAGCGTCACCGGCGCTACGTGACGGCTCGGCTCTCTCAGTGACATCTCGGCTGATCGGCTCAATCTCGGCCCAATCTCGGCTCAACTCTCGCCCGTCTCGTACGTCACCGGCGCCATGTCGAGCACGACCAGCCGCTCGACGCGCTCCGGCGACTGCAGCGCGAGCGCCATCGCAACCTTGCAGGTCAGAGGTGTTGGCGGTGGAGCGAGAGTGGCCGCGCGCTTGTCGAAAGTGTCTCGGAAGGGTCTCGGAAGTGTCTCGGACCTTCCCGCCGAGCGAGTGACCGCAGAGGATGGCCTTCGGGATGCCCTGCTCGTCGAGCAGCCGCCGCACGTCCGCCGCCATCTCGACGAACGACATCGTCGCCGCCTTGTCGCTCGAGCCGTGGTTGCGCAGGTCTACGAGCAGCACGCGCCGCGCAGCGCCCTTGGCGGCGCAGTCGTCACCGAGGCGCGCCGCCCAGGTCTGGAAGTTGCTGCCGGCGCCGAGCAGCCCGTGCAGCACCACGAATGGCGTCTGCGAAGTCGCGGGCCAGCTTCCAGCGTCGGAGAACTGCAGGCCGACGGAGCTTGCCGTCGCCGTGGCAACGGCGGACGACCTGGAGAGGCGAGCGGTGGACGCTACCCAGGTGTGCAAGCAGAGAGTGACACTCGCCGGGGCTAGCATATCCCTCTTGCCGAGCGCCCCGGGGCACGACACGACAGGGTTACCCAGATAGGGGGTCTGTGCGCCACCCATACCGCGTTGGTGTCCCAGTCGTTGGTCGGACTGTGCGCGTATCGTCTGAGCTAAGGTACGCGGCCACACGCGCTGGCGCGCACGGCAACCGGGACTTACGCGCGCGACACGAGGGGCTGCGTACGTGGCTGGGTTCACAGCGATTGTAGGAAGGAAAATGGGAACACTTGACGGTCGCGGCCTTCCGACTCGCGCCTCCGCCTCACCAGGCCGCCTCACTGGCACTATTGTAGCCCTGGCCGGTGCGCGTGCAGAGTTGAAGTTCCGGAGTGAAAATTCGAACGCGTTCTCTCACGGTGACCAAAAAATGTCCACCTCAGAGGCACCTCCGGAGGCAGGCCGCCGCACGCCGGCGACACAGCTCCAGCTGTCGAGCTGACCCGCAGCTCCTCTCAGAGCGGGAACTGTGACGAAAGTTGACTGAGGCGGTTGTCAGGAATCATCATACGGATCACATGGTGGCTCTCTCATGACGGAAGACCGCCCGACCACTCCTGGGTGGCACTGCCACCGGTGTCGCTTGACGTCCTGTCGACAGCGTGCCGACAGCGACACAGACCATGTGGGACGCGTCGAGTATCGACCTCTACTGCTTACCCAGCCTTCGAGTGTATCCTGGTTGTGGTCCCACACCCACTGGTGTCCATCTCAGAGACCGCAGGAGGTCATGAGGGTCGATGGGAGTGCCAACCCCACAATGCCTAAAAGCCCAGCCCAGTATCCTCGCCTGCCACCTCGGGGGAGAATAGCCGCCCTCACCCGCTGGCGTTCATCGAGCTCGGTCGGCGGGGCCCCCGGGGCCTGATACGTGTTTCTGTGCCGGCGCGTATCTTAGCCAAGATACGCGGCCACACGTGCAGAACGCGTATATACAGCGGTACTCGCGCCCCACACGTGCAGCCGCCTACTTGGCCAACAAACATAGTACCGCGTGACATACACGCCCACGCATCGGGATGGGGCATGATGTTCCCCTAGATAGCGCCCACAACGCGTAGCCGCGTATGTCAACATCCCTCTGAGAGAGGGATTTTTAGCAATACCAAACATGAACTCTAACACTCACACGTCATTTGGGGCCTGGAGCCCTGGGTTAGACCCCATGCAATAGGTAGGTAGGTCCGGTTTTGACCGCCCCAGAGGGCCCCGCAATAGGTAGGTAGGTGGTGGGGGGGGGGGGGTAAAAAACCGCTTCGCTCGCGCGGGAGACGCGCTAGCCGCGAACGGGGCCATGCCAGGCGAGTCGCCTGCGGCTGGGACGCCAGCCGAGACGGGTGCGGCGCCCGCGGTGGGTGGGTAGGTAGGTGGGGCACGGAGCCTGGCGATTGGCGCCCGCAATAGGTAGGTAGGTAGGGCGTTTTGGGTGCGAGTCATAGGCCACAGACCCCCTATCTGGGTAGGAGCCGAAGGAACCACTTGGAGTGCAGTTATCAGCCTCACATCCAAGGGCCGGGGAGCTAAGAAGCACACCCAGCGGGCCAGATCGCAGATGATCGGGATTCGGGTTACGGGCTAGAGAGCCCTAGCCCTGGGGGGTGCGCGTTCGCAGGGAAAGGGCCGTAAAGTAAACACGGTTCTCCGAGGGTTGGCTCTGCGCTCCGGGTTTCCCCTAGCAGCGGAACGCCCCCTCTACTCGGAGCTAGTAGACACCAGACACAGCACGACGACGCACTTGAAATTCTTGGTGATTGTTGTTTTTCGTCAAATTCTTTGTCCTACGACGAAAAATTCTTTCTATCGGTCGTATTGCAATACGCGACCCCACGTGACCTGCCCGCCGACTTTCGTTCCGTCCAGTTGAGCGTGAACACACGGCCGGCAGGTCCGGTCCACCTCTCCAGCCTACCTACCCCATACTCCGGGACACGAGTGAGCACGATGCTCCGACCTCCCCCCCCCCCATCCCCCTCCTCCCCGGACCGCGGCGCGCGCAAGGCGCGAGACACACTGTCACGGCGAACACGTCGCGGCGCTCGCTTGCTTGCCGTCGCTGGCTGGTGGCTGGGCTTTGTTTGTCTGCCACCCACGCACCCCTTTGAGCACAGAGCAGCCTCCCCCCCCCCCCCGCCAGCATTTCTTTTCCTTCCGGATTTTCTTTTTTGCGATGTAAGAAAGAATTTTACGAAAACTCCCTCGCCCGACACTAGGCACGGGACTGGGGTCTGGCGCGCACTGGCACTAGCACAGGAGTAGCGCGGGGGGCGGCGGGTGTGCGGGATGTCTGTGGGCCCGAGAGCGATGTGCCATGTCAGTTGCGTTTTTTCATGTAGGTAAGAAAGAAAGAAAGAAAACACACAACCCAAGGGAGGGATGGGAGAACGGCACGCCGCCACCACACAGGGATTTTAAGGAGAGGAGTGTGATGCGCTAGCCGTCGCCCACCCTGGGGAGTCTGCCTCTTCGTATCTCTTTTCGCAGTCTCTCGCCGCTTCTCGCTGCAACCTTCATGCCACCTCGCGGCCGTCCCACTCTCGTCGGTCTCTCCCTTGTCACTTCCTCCTCTGTCGCGTCGTTCTCTTCTGCCTCGTCCTGCGACGCCGCCGCCTGCCGGTCCCTTGTTCTCGCGGCTTCTTTCGCCTTGCGCAACTCCGTCCTCCTCGCGGCGTATCCTGGCCCCTTTTCATGTAGGTTGTATGTAGAAAGATACGAAGGCTTTCTTGTTTCAGAAAGAAACCAAACCTCGCAAGCCGTGTGGGCAATGTACATGCTGCAGACCCGGCTCTGCGTCGGCCTCGTCGTCGCTCTCCTCTCGTCTACGCCGCTCGCCTCCGACGACTGCGTCGACGAGCAGCCGAATTGCGAGAGCTGGGCGGCCGCTGGAGAGTGCAAGAAGAACGCCGGCTTCATGAGCAGAGCGTGCCCAAGGTCGTGCGGGACATGTCCTCCACCCATCGACCCGGCGCTGCTGGAGCTCGGGCCGGAGCGCGTGGTGATGGACATCGAAGGCTACGGCAAGGTGACGCTGGGCTTCTACCCGAAGGCTGCTCCGGTCACCGTTCCGCACCTCCTCAGTCTCTTCCGCCTCGGCTTTGCGATGACTTGAACCACATCCTCCTCTATGCTGAGCAGTCCAGTAGTAGTACCCGTTTCACATAGGCTGCTACGACTCGAACCACATCTTTCGCGTGGACAAGGGCTTCGTCGCGCAGGTGCAGTCCGTCTTGAGCCTGAGAGTGTGAACGGCGACGGTTCTTCATGCCTGCAGCTGTGAACAGGTGCAGTCCGTCTCGCAGGGCTCGGTGCTCTCGCCGCTCTCGGCCGAGTGCGCGCGCGAGGCGGCAAAGACGGTCCCTGGCGAGTTCACGGGCATACGGCACGTGCGGGGCATGCTGTCGATGGGCCGAATGTCCGACCTGGACAGCGGCGGCTCCTCCTGCTCGAGATCGCGCGAGCTCACCCGAGCTCACCCGAGATTAGGTCTGACCCGGACAGCGGCGGCTCCTCCTTCTCCATGCTGCTCGGCCGGGCGGCGCATCTCGACGGCGAGTACACCGTGTTTGGAAAGGCGAGAGAGATGACCCGAGATGACCCGAGAGGCGATTAGGTGCGTGTGATGTGTGTGATGAGATATTTGATCGGAAAGGCGAGATGAGCCGGGATTGACCCGAGATCCCGAGATCGCATCTCGACGGCGAGAGGACCACCTCTGTGGGCTTCGCCTACCCCGGCTGCAGTCTTTCTGCCGCTCCGCGCTTCGCGCCTCTCGACTCGCCGATCCATTTCCGTCCCTCGCGCAGGTGCTGGACGGCGACGACGTGCTCAAGAGCGTCGAGGAGGTGGAGACACGCCAGGAGGCAAGCTCCCCCAAGATTGTCCGAGACTGCCCGGGGCGAGCGCACACCCCACCCCTTTTGGGCTCATGGCAAACCACTGTTCCCACGAATAAGCCACACGTGGCGCAAGAAGGTGCCCAACACGCCCCCTTTCCCAGCTGAGTGTGCGCACCACCTCTGGCGCAGCGAACGACCCGCTTGCCACCCTCGCGCCCTTCCACCCCCGACCCCTTTCCCTCTACCCCGGCGCCAAGCCCCATGCCGCGCCGCCCGGCACGCCAGGGGATCTTCGTGATGCCAAAGAAGCGGATCACAATCACGTCGGCGATAGTCCACGCCGAGGAGCAAGAGCTATAGCCGCCAAGCAACGACACCCCCGGCGGCTAGGGCGGCGGCGGCGAGGCGGCCCGGCGGCAGAGGGCAGTGGACGTCCCAGCTCTTTGAACCCCCCCCCCCCCCCTCTCCCCCCCAAGGCTGGCGTGTGCGTGTGACGATGTTCGATCTTGCCACTTTGTGTTATGTCTCTCCGCAAAGTCCTGCGCCCCGTCCCGTCACTCGTGTTTCCCTCCCTTGCTTTAAAGCCCGCGTTTTGGGACCTATTTTATTTGCTATATATCACGGTCTAGCTCTAGGCACACCCGATGATGGCACTCGCCCAGCACACGCGCACACGGCACACGCATCGCCCCAGAACCCCCAGCGCCCAGGCCCAGCCTCGCGGAGCCTCACAGAGCTCAGAGGCTCACACTGGTTGGGTAGTAGTCTAAGTTCTCGTCTGATCCTCGATGCCTAGCGGGTCTAAGTGTGCCATGGCACACTGTGATGCTTGCGCGGTCTAAGATCAGCGGGAGCCTCTTACATTCGGCTAAGTCGGCCGTGGCACGGCCTGGGGCCAAGAGGCTCCCACCGTGATCGATACGGCGCTCCGCCCAAATTTTCTTCGCCTGCGGCGGGCGCCTACTAAAATCCGGATCGATCCTCCTCATGCCTCAGAGATAGCCCGAGATAGCTCGAGATGGCGCGAGATGGCGCGATGAGTAATTATGTATGTAAAAGAGGGAACCAGTCGAGAGGACTGGACAGGGGAGGGACGCGGCCAGAAAGAGAGGGCGGGCGCCGGGCTATAGTGTGACACGCAGAGCGGAGAGCGAGAGGTGTGTGTGTGATGAGAGATTTGATCGAGAGAGGCATGGATCGAGATCGAGAGAGGCGATTAAATATTAATTATCGAGACCGCACGAGATGAGCGAGAGGTGTGTGTGATGCGCATCTCGACGGCGAGTACACCGTGTTTGGAAAGGCGAGATGAGCCGGATTGACCCGAGATCCCGAGATCGCATCTCGACGGGTAGTAGTCTATAAGTGAGAGGTGAGTGGGACTGCTATGCATATGTAATCGCCCAGAATGCACAGATCGGCCATGTTATGTAAATACGCGCCCGCGATCCATAGTGCGTCGGCCAGACGTCGCGTATTTCGGTGTCGTGCCCGAGCCAAGTGGCGCCTGAGGGAGCTACAAGTGTCTTGCGTATTACGAATCTGTCTTCTGCATCCACCTTCGGCCGATCGGGGTGTGCCTCTCAAGGCGCGCTACGCCCCACGTACTACGCACACGCATTCCGGATCGAGTGAGAAGTGGTGGCCGACGGGGGTTACGCCTCACGCATTACGCATACGTTTTACGCATTCGCACGCCCAAGGTGTCGGAGAGGGCCTCCGCACCACGTACTACGCACACGCATTCCGGATTCGAGTGAGAAGTGGTGGCTGACGGGGGTTACGCCTCACGTATTACGCATACGTTTTACGCATTCGCACGCCCAAGGTGTCAGAGAGGGCCTCCGCACCACGTACTACGCACACGCATTCCGGATTCGAGTGAGAAGTGGTGGCTGACGGGGGTTACGCCTCACGTATTACGCATACGTTTTACGCATTCGCACGCCCAAGGTGTCGGACGGAGGGCCTCCGCACCACGTACTACGCACACGCATTCCGGATTCGAGTGAGAAGTGGCGGCCGACGGGGGTTACGCCTCACGCATTACGCATACGTATTACGCATTTGCACGCCCAAGGTGTCGGAGCGGGCTTACGCACCACGTATTACGCATATGTATTACGCATCCCCCCCCCAAACCCCCTTTATGTGCGCGCACTGGCGCTGCCGCTAGGGCTGCCATAAGTTGGCTAGGGTTGTATGTGCGCTGGTAACAACAGACTCGGGCATAGCCCTCGACAGCCACCCCCTAACCCCCCCACCCCCCCCCTTTACTGGCGCTGCCGCTAGGGCTGCCATAAGTTGGCGCTGCCGCTAGGGCTGCCGCATAATCCGCATAATCATGAGCCTGTCTCCAAACACCTCTCCGACGCGCTCGACTATAGTCCAAATTGGACGGTGGACTATATGTCGGGACGGCGGCCATTTGCTCAGGCGTCAGAATGCTGAGCTCGTACACTGGCAGCTCCGCAGAGGTTGAGGACGGCGGCGGCGGCGGTGGCGGCGCGGTGAGATCGCTGGTGTCCCTGCCCGCCTCCCTGCGGGCGTAGAAGAGCGCCGCCTCCTCGGCGGTGGCGAAGTAGCCGAGATGAACCATCTTGCCTTCAACCGTCGCCTGCAGCTTGTACTTCTTGCGGCCTTGCTCCTTCGGGCAGAAGGACACGCCTTTGTAGCCGCTGCTGCTGCCGCTGCTAGTAGCCAGAGTCAGGCCCTCCCTCTCCGCCTGCCGTATCGCCTCGAGGCCATCGGCAGTGGGAGCCGGGCGGGGCTGCAGCAGCTTGGCGGCGTCGGCGCGACCGTACTCTGAGCGAGCGTAGGCGGTGGCCGCCTCTTCGGCGGTGTCGAAGGAGCGGGAGGTCGTCAGTACTGCTACGCATATGTAATCGCCCAGAATGCACAGATCGGCCATGTTATGTAAATACGCGCCCGCGATCCATAGTGCGTCGGCCAGACGTCGCGTATTTCGGTGTCGTGCCCGAGCCAAGTGGCGCCTGAGGGAGCTACAAATGTCTTGCGTATTACGAATCTGTCTTCTGCATCCACCTTCGGCCGATCGGGGTGTGCCTCTCAAGGCGCGCTACGCCCCACGTACTACGCACACGCATTCCGGATCGAGTGAGAAGTGGTGGCCGACGGGGGTTACGCCTCGCGCATTACGCATACGTTTTACGCATTCGCACGCCCAAGGTGTCGGAGAGGGCCTACGCACCACGTACTACGCACACGCATTCCGGATTCGAGTGAGAAGTGGTGGCCGACGGGGGTTACGCCTCACGCATTATGTTGCGGGCGGGCGCAGACGCAACGGCGCGCAGTGTGCGCGGCAGCACGGCGCTTCAGCTGGCCAAGGAAAAGGGCCACGCCGAGTGCGTAAAGGTCTTGACGGTGGCGGCGGCGGCGGCGGAGGGCCGAGTAGGGGCGGGCGGCGCTTGCTCGGGCGCGGCAGCGGCAGCGGTGGACGCGCCGCTGCTCGGACAGCGAGTCGTGCTCGGCGGGCTCTCTTCCCGCCCCGAGCTGAACGGGCAGCGGGGCGTGGCGCGGAGCTTCGAGGGCGGGCGGTATGCTGTGGCGCTCGAGGGCGGCGGCGAGAGCGTGCGGGTGCGGCCGGGTAATCTGTCGCCGGTTGCGGCGGAGCGGGCGTCGAGAGGTGGCGTGCCAGTCTCCGATGCGGTCGTGGCAGCGGCTGAGCGAGGCGAGGAGGAGGCGGTGCTGGCGTGGCTCGAGGGCGGCGGGCGGGCCGACGTGACGTTCGAGAGAGGCGAGGTGAGCGGCCTCACGCTGCTGATGGGCGCCGCCAGCCACGGCCACGAGCAGGTGGTCAAGCTGCTGCTGCAGCACGGGGCTAAGGTCAACCATCAGAGCAGCGGGGGCGGCACTGCGCTGATGAACGCCGCCCTCCACGGTCACGAGCGGGTGGTCGACTTGCTGCTGCAGCACGGCGCGGAGGTCAACCTGCAGAAGAGCAACGGCGTCACCGCGCTGATGTCCGCTGCCGGAAACGGCCGCGAGCGGGTGGTCGAACTGCTGCTGCAGCACGGCGCGGAGGTCAACCTGCAGGACAGCAACGGCGGCACCGCGCTGATGCACGCCGCTTCCCTCAACCGCCCCGCCGTCGTGCGGCGTTTGCTGCGGGCGGGCGCAGACACCGCGGCGCGCGTTGCGAACGGCAAGACGGCGCTGCAGCTGGCCAAGGATAAGGGCCACGCCGAGTGCGTCGATGCCTTCAGGCAGCACGTCCAGGAGTCGGTCGTGGCGGGACGGCCCGCGGCAACGGCAGCCAGCGGCGATGGCGCAGGCGGCGGCGGCGTTTCCTCGGCTGGATCGACAGTCGCGAAGACGCCATCTCCAGCGGTGGCGGCGGGGCGGGCGTCGAGCGGTGTCGTGGAAGTCTCCGACGAGGTCGTAGTCAACCCTCTTCATGTGCTAAGTCACAGCCCGGTGTCGTATGACACCGTCCCCCAAACCACCCGGATACGAGTTCCTTATACCAATCCTACAGTCGTCTGAGACGACACCCGGATCGAGGAGGCTTTGCAGCGCCTCACCCGCGATCAACAATACCGCAGAGCCGCGCACACGCGGCTCACCACCACCGCCACTTGCTGAACACCGACCTTCGGGTTCAGATGCCGATCCCTCTGCAAACGAGGAAAGAGAGACGTCTCGCGATACTACGGAGGGCCTCGACCAAGCACGGTCAGACCACCCCGATCCCTACCACAGCTCTTGAGAAGAGAAAAAGAAGTATGTTATGGGGGTTGGGGTCCAAAGATCGT